CTCTCTCTCTCTCTCTCTCTCTCTCAAAAAAAAAAAAAAAAGTGTGTTATTTGGCATAATGTATATTTTTTGCCTGTGAGGGCGGAAGCCATTAAGATAACTAGAGGTTTGTCTTATCAACTAGGAGGATGCAGGGATTGCCACTCTTTAGCTAGAGTCCTCTGGGCACAGCCATGCTGGAGGAGAACTCATGGACTCCCCCCCCCCCCCCCACTCCTTCTTCAGCACCACATAGCAGCATAGGACAGTGAGTCAGAGGGAGTCCATTGCTCTGCCACTTAGTGATGGTGCAACCTTTGAGTTTATTTTGAGGGAGAAAGAAAGCATGAGTGGGGGAGGGGTATATAGGGAGAGAGAGAATCTTAAGCACGGCAGGCTCTGTGCTAATAGCTCGGGCTCCATCTCTCTCCAATGTGAGATCATGACCTGAGCCGAAATCAAGAATCGGATGCTCAACCGACGGAGCCACCCAAGCACCTTTCATCAGGTATCTTCTATACTTAAGGGAAGTCGTCTAATCTCTGTGGGCTTCAGATCTCTCATCTGAGAAAAGGGGTAAATAAATATATTATCTGCCTGAACGTGTGGGAGAGGGAGATGTCTGAACCAGATGATTTCTTGAGGTCCCCTTCCTATAAAAAGTCTAAATGAAAAGCTATCTGTTTCTTTTCTGTCTACTCATAGATTCTCAAGTCACTTCCCCCTAGGTTACTGACTGATGTTTTACTACCCAACAGAAATCTTTCTCTTGAAAGACAATCTGCTTTGTCAGCTGGCCATTAAGGGATTATCCCATTTCCGCCCTAGGATTCTAGTTTGTTTATAGTACATTTTATAATGTAAAGTAAAATATGTGTTTAATGTAGAAAACTAAAAAGAATAGAGAAGCATTAGAAAATAACCCAAATCTCACCACCTGCTCAATATGTGGATGTATTTCCTTAGTTTTCCCTTTCAAAATCTGGATCATTTTGTAGTTAGAATATAGTTCGGTTAGCATAACATAATGAGCACTCTTCCATGCCAACTAAATATGCTTCAAAAACCGTGATTTATACTAGCTTTATAATAGCACATTTTAAACATAAAATTAACCAATCACTAGTGCTGGAAATTTGGTGATTTCCACATTCTTTACTATTATAAAGTGTTCCTATGAATATTCTTGATCTATACAATGCTCTTCGATGCGTCTGGTATCTGGTATCTTCCTAGGTTACACTTCCAGAAGCAGAATTGACAAAGGGAAAAGGTAAGGGTAAGATCTGTTTGGCCGCCTGCAAAACGAACCTTACCTCTATTTTACACCAGCGGTATCTGGTTATTTATGAAGCTAGGTTCAATATATGTACACATTTATTTTTCAAATAATTAGGTGTCATACCCCTCTATTAAGAGGGACGCCGATGAGAGCGGAAGGGGGCGGGAAGTCTTAATAACCCAATGTCCACTCACTCTTCACACAGGCCCCCGTCCGGCCGAAGTAAAGCTCCCGGGGCCATCGCTCAAGTCTCGGCAACCTTCCCAAACCCTACTTAGAAGACTCCTCCCCACTCACGCCACACCTACTCGACCAAGTAAGGCCTCTGCACCAAGACCACACCCACTTCCGGTCCCGACGACTTCGGCACCCCTCCCCCTCCGCCGGGTGCCTCACCTCGAGGACCACCTTGCGCATGCGCCCCAGGTCCCGAAGGTAAGCGGCCGTGTGGGGGTGGTCGCGGTGAATGTGCAAGGCCGCGGTGGCTGCGTGACAAGCCTGCGCTACCATTGCGCCTGCCGGCCAGGAGAATGGAGCCTGCGACAGATCCTTTCGTAACACCAAGTACTGGACTAGGATCTGCGGCTCTGCGCCAGAGGCCGCCATCTTCCGGGCCCACAGAAAGACCGGCCCTACTCCCCGGTGCATGCCGGGATGAGGGAGGGGCCCTGAGCGCAGCCATGTTTTTGTACGGTGGCGGCGCAAAGCACGCTGGGTCCGATTGGTTTGGTTTTGAAGGCGTGGACGGCGGGAACTCCACCTTGGCCTGGGTGAGCGAGAGAAGAGGTAAGGGGAAAAGAAGACCCGGTGGCGGACGAGACCGTGGTCGCGGTGGAAGGCTGAACAGCCTCTTAAAGCCGTGTTGTGGGGCACGCGCGGGGGCAAGTAGACCGCCGGCTAGGACCGGGGAACGGGCAGGGTAGGACGGGTCAGGGAAGGGGAGTCCTAACGGTGTGACTTGGGCTGTCTCGCGACACCCCAAGTGTGAATAGATGTGACTTTCTTGCCTTTTTTCTTTTACCAGCAAGGACATCTGGGTCCCTATTAAGGCTTGCCTGCACAACTTCGTAGGAAGGCCGGTGGGAAACCGAGGAGATGGAGTGGGCGAATGACAAGTCCAAAGGAGGTATTCAAAGGGTCGCCTTTTCCCCCTTAGTACTGCTGCCAAAGAGGACGCCTAGATCAAAACAACCCTTTCCTCCTCTAACGGATGTGTGACCCGGCCTGCTGGGAGCATTATGGTGAAAGATCCAAACACTGAAGACTGAAAAGGCACAGGCCAGCTAAGATTATTCATTGCAGATGGGAAATTATTTCAGACATTTCTAGGCTCCTGCCCCTTTTTAAACGGATAGGTTGCACTCACAATAATGCTTAGTGTTTATATATTCGGAGCTACAGTTCTAGTCACTGAGGTCTCATTCCTTTCCAGGATTTTTTTGGGTGGGGTCATTTATGCATTACACCTGTGGAAGGATCGGAGCCAAGCAGTGACTTCGGTGTTGGTTAGACTTGGGCGTGTCCTGGCCCTGCCATTAGAAATAACGTGGCCTTGGGCAAGTTACTTTGCCATTCTCTGCGCTCATTTCATCTGGAAAATGGAGGCAAGTAGTAGCCTTATGGTGATGGTTGTGGAAAGAAAATAAGAACTGAATTATCTTCATGCTTTATTTTTTTTTAAGCTTATTTATTTTGAGAGCGAGAGCGCGCGTGCGCGAGCATGAGGAGGAGACAAGCGAAGAGGGGAGAGAGAGAGAGCGTTCCAAGCAGATTTCACATTGTCAGCACAGAGCCTGACCCAAGGCTTGATCCCACCCTTGAGATCATGACCTGAACTGATATCAAGAGTCGGACACGTAACCGACTCAGCTACCCAGGGGCCCCTTCATGCTTTAATTCTTTACATAATGTGCAAGTAAAACATCTAGCACAGGGTCTTAATGTGTAGGAAATGTGCAGCAAATGCTTTATTGTTAGACTTGATTGGCATTATGAAACTGTGATGGTCCTTAATCTCTTGGGAACTGATATTTGCCTTTGAATTTCTGTCCAACTGTGAACTTGTTTTCCTTTCTAAATCCCAGTAATATTGGTAGACAGTTCCCTTTAGTGTCCTTTTAGTCCTGTGTGAATAATACTTCTCAGAGCTTCAAAACACTTAAGACTCTCTGGATGTCTGAATCCAAAGAGCTATGCATTAGCACTTTGGGGAAACATGCATAAAAGCCAATGTAAAAATCTACAGTTTTAATAACAGTGTCTGAGAGAGTCCGTGAATTTGGTGACCCTGTTTTCCCCAGTCCTTATCATAGATAACTGACATGAGTTACATTCAGATTATGCTCACGTTGGACTGTCCTGGTCAGGAACTGCTTGTACATTAGTGCCCAACCTATAAGGCTGCTCATTCTTGATTCTTTTTGTCAGGTCCTCTGGTTTTATAAATCATGGCCAATGTCTAACATTTTAGCTGGTCAAAGTTCTAAGAAGGGAGTTAACCCTCTGTTCATCTCTGAAATTCTTCCTGTGGCCAGAGTCAGAAATCCCTGGATGCTTGTGAAATTGCCTTTTTACTTTCCTCAGGTGTTTTAGCTCACTTGGAAAGACTAGAGACTCAAATGAGCAGATCCTGTAAAAACTTAGAAGACCCGCCGAGAGAGACAGCAGAGAGCGATCTTGGGACCAAAATTCATAAACTGAGGTGTCTGCGTGATAAGCTCAGGGCTGAAGTGAAACAGCGTCAAGCCAGAGTGAGTACAGGGGCCATGTTAGCAAGCTTTGCTGGAGCATAAAGAATAAGCATGACCTGGGAATTAACAATTTGTATAATGGGTTTTACCTGTGATCTTACTGGATTGATTTCAGTCCTTGACCTCTCAAATGATCAGTTCTGTAGAGTCAGCTAATATCAATGTCAACCAATAATTGTTAGGCGTTACTGATAGGCCAGGCAAGTTCTTCATAATAGCCTCTTAACCTGCACTTGTAGACAGGAGCTTGTTACTTCAGTCTCAGCCTGATGGGTCATTGGTATTTTTGTCATTACCTCCATCTTTCCCTTACAGACTTGAAACCTCACAGTGAACTTTGACGCTTCCTTCTCTTCAGTTTTCTCTCTTGGCCAGGATAGGTCAGCAAGACCTGCCAAATTTTCCTTTAGGTTGTCTTTGTGCTTCCAAAGTATTATCCACATATGTTGTAAATATTTACCAGGGGATGGGATGCTGGGATTATTGGAGTAGTCTGCTCGTTGTTTTCTCTTCGTGTATATCTACTTCTCCAATAACTCTTACACAGCCAGGAAAATGCTTCATAAGACCCTACATTGAATTTTATATAAATGTAAAAAGTGTAAACTTATGTCTGACTTGTTATTTTTGAATGCTGTCTGTGAGATTTATCCATACTGGTGCACATAGTGGTCATTCTTTTTTATTGCTGTGTAGTAATTTCATTTTATGAATATTCCACAATTTATTTACTTCATTGTATTGGCGACATTTGGGTTATTTTATTTCACTTCAGGGCTGTGAAACATTCTTGTTCCTGTCTTTTGATGTAAAAATACGTACTTTTCTATCAGGTGTATACTTTGTAGAATTGCTAGGTCATATTTGTCCTTAGTAAATACTGCCAAACAGTTTTTGGAAGTGATTCCACCAATTTTACATTCCCAGCACCTGTGTAAAAGATTTCCATCATTTTGCATATTTACCAGTAGTTGATATTGTCAGTTTAAAAAATTTGTCACTCTGCTGAGTGTCACAGTATCTCATGGCGGAGTAATTTGCAATTGCCTGATAACTAATGCTGTTAAGTACCTGTATTGGATACTTGAAAGTCTTCTGTTGTGAAATAGGCTTTTTGAGGCTTCTGCAAAAATTTTATTGCGTTGTGTATCTCTTACTGAATTGTAGAGTTGTTTACATATTTTGGATATGAATTCTTTAGTATATGTATTACGAATCTTCTCTTAGACTGTGGCTTGCCTTTTCACCCTAATGGTGTCTTGTGATGAAAAGAAAGTCTTCATTTTAATGAAGGTTGATTTAGGAGTCTAATTTTATACTTAACTGCTCTTGTTTCCTTTTAATAAATCTTTGCCTAACTTGAGATGGTGAAGATGTTCTGTGGTATTTTCTAAAAACTCTATTGTACTTTTTACTTTCAGAACTACAGTCTGTCTGGAATTGATTTTTGTGTATGGGATGAAGTAGAGGTCATACTACTACTTTTGTTTTTCCATGTGAATATCCAGTGCATTTGCTACCACTTTTTGATGTCCGTTCTTTTCCCGTTGTGTTGTAATGGATCTTTGGGTCCACTGTGGGCCTGTTCTGTTCCATGTGGGTACAAGAGATTTATTTACTGTAAGTTTGGATACCTGTCATATATGTCGTCATCTTCAGAATAATCTCGGCTATTCTTGGCCCCTTGAATTTTACATAAATTTGGGAATCAGCTGTCAATTTCCAAAAAACCTATAGTTTTGATTGGGACTGCATTGAATCTATACACAAATTTGGAGAGAATTGAAATATTTTCAATATTGCATTTTCCAGTCAGTGTACATGATGTATCTTTCCATTTATTTAGTTCTTTAATTTCTCTTATTAATGTGTGCAGTTTTATGTGTAGAGATCTTTATTTTTTTTATCATTTTTTTAATGTTTATTTATTTTTGAGAGAGACAGAGTGCAAGCAGGGGAGGGGTAGAGAGAGAAGGAGACACAGGATCTGAAGCATGCTCCAGGCCCTGAGCTGTCGGCACAGAGCCTGACGTGGGGCTCAGACTCACAAACCGTGAGATCATGCATGACCTGAGCCAAAGTCGGACGCTTAACCGACTGAGCCACCCATGTGTAGAGGTCTTAAACATCATTCAGTATATTTATCTTTATGTATTTGATTTTTCCTGATGTTAACGTATATGGCAGGGGTCCACAGACTTTCTGTATAAGGCCAGATAGTCATTATTTTAGGCTTTGTGAGCCACCTGGTCTCTATGGCAACTATTCAGCTCTGCTGTTGTACTGTGAAGTAGCCATAGACAATAAGTACGTGCGTGGGTGTGTTCCAGTCAAACCTTAATTTACAAAAATAAGTGTCAAGATAGGTTTGACCCACAAGTCCTATTTTAATAGCCTCTGATGTATTATCTTTTAGAAATTTTATTTTCATATTATGTAGAAATATATTTGATTTTTATATATTGACTTTATGACAACTTTGCTAAATCTACATTAATTCTATTTATCTCTCTATTCTTTTGGGATTTCTACATCTGGAATCATGTCATATGCAAACACTAACAGTTTTACTTCTTTCCAATCCTTGTAATTTGTTTTCCTTGCCTTATTCTACTAGCTAAGTTGTTTCCTATATTGTTGAGTAGAAATAATCTTAGGGTCAACCTGTTTGCTCTAAATTTTGTATACATACTCTTATCAGTTTAAGGAAATGGTCTTCTATGTCTAGCTTGCTCATTTAATTGTGATCAAGTATTGAATTTTATCAAATGTTTTTACTGCATACATTAAGGTGGTTGTATGGCTTGTATTAATGTGGTGATACATATTGATTGGTTTTTGAATGATAATGGCTTACATTTTTAGAATAAACCTAAGTTGGTTTGATGTATTACCTTTCTGTATAATGTTGAATTCTATTTGCTAATATTTGCTAATAGGACTTTTACATCTAAATTCTTGAGATTGTCTTGTGCTTTTTTTTTTGTTTGTTTTAATGTCCTTTTCGGGTTTTGGCATCAAATTTAACTGGGTCTTATAAAGAGAGTTGATATATTTTCCTCTTTTTCTGTTCATTGGAAAAGTTTACATAAAATCGGTGTGGTTTTTCCTTAAATATTTGTAAAGAGAACTACCTGGTAAAACTTTGGGCCTCCTTTGTGGGAAGGTTTTAAGTTTCTGATTCAATTTCTTTGATTAATATAAAGCTTTTATATTTCCTGTTTCCCTTTGGGTCATCTTTGGTAAATTGCATTTCATTTAAAGTTGTTTGAACCTTCTTGTTTTTGTTTTTATTTTTGTTTGTTTTGTTTTATTTTTGTTTTTTTAATTTTTATTAATAATTTATTTTTTAATTTACATCCAACTTAGCATATGGTGCAACAATGATTTCAGGAGTAGATTCCTCAATGCCCCTTACCCATTTAGCCCATCCCACCCTCCCACAACCCCTCCAGCAACCCTCTGTTTGTTCTCTATATTTAAGAGTCTCTTATGTTTTGTCCCCCTCCCTGCTTTTTTTTTTTTTTTTTTTACTTTTTAATGTTTATTTGAGAGAGAGAGGCAGAATGTGAGTGGGGGAGGGGCAGAGAGAGGGAGACACAGAATCCGAAGCGGGCTCTGGGCTGTCAGCACAGAGCCTGATGTGGGGCTTGAACTCACGAACTGTGAGATCATGACCTGAGCCGAAGTTGGACACTTAACCGACTGAGCCATCCCGGCACCCTCCCCTCCCGTTTTTATATTATTTTTGCTTCCCTTCTCTTATGTGCATCTGTTTTATATCTTAAAGTCCTCATATGAGTGAAGTCATGTGATATTTGTGTTTCTCCGACTGACTGATTTCACTTAGCACAACACCCTCTAGTTCTATCCATGTAGTTGCAAATGGCAAGATTTCATTTTTTTTGATTGCCAGGTAATACTCCATTGTATATATATACAACATCTTCTTTATCCATTCATCCGTCCTTGGACATTTGGCTCTTTCCATACTTTGGCTATCGTCGATAGTGCTGCTATAAACATTGGGGTGCATGCGCCCCTTCGAAACAGCACACCTGTATCCCTTGGGTAAATACCTAGTAGTGCAATTGCTGGGTTGTAGGGTAGTTCTATTTTTAGTTTTTTGAGGAACCTACATACTGTTTTCCAGAGTGACTGCACCAGTTTGCATTCTCACCATCAGTGCAAAAGAGATCCTCTTTCTTCACATCCTCACCAACATCTGTTGTTGCCTTTGTTGTTAATGTTAGCCATTCTGACAGGTGGTATCTCATTGTGGTTTTGATTTGTATTTCCCTGATGATGAGTGATGTTGAGCGTTTTTTCCTGTGTGGGTTGGCCATCTGGATGTCTTCTTTGGAGAAGTGTCTATTCATGTTCGCCCATCTTCACTGGATTATTTTTTGGGTGTTGAGTTTGATAAGTTCTTTATAGATTTTGGATACTCTTATCTGATATGTCATTTGCAAATATCTTCTCCCATTCCATCAGTTACCTTTTAGTTTTGCTGATTATTTCCTTTGCTGTGCAGAAGCTTTTTATTTTGATGAGGTCCTGAACAGTTTTGCTTTTGTTTCCCTTGCCTCTGGAGATATGTTGAGGAAGAAGTTGCTGTGGCCAAGATCAAAGAGGTTTTTGCCTGCTTTCTCCTCGAGGATTTTGATGGCTTCCTGTCTTACATTGAGGTCTTTCATCCATTTTGAGTTTATTTTTGTGTCTGGTATAAGAAAGTGGTCCAGGTTCATTCTTTTGCATGTCGCTGTCCAGTTTTCCCAGCACCATTTGCTGAAGAGACTGCCTTTATTCCATTGAATCTTCTTTCTTGCTTTGTCAAAGATTAGTTGGCCATACGTCTGTGGGTCCATTTCTGGGTTCTCTATTCTGTTCCATTGATCTGAGTGTCTGTTTTTGTGCCATAAAGTTGTTTGAAGCTTCTTAAACAACTATCTTGTGAATAGGATTGATCAGTAGCATTGTCTCAGTTTTTAATCTGATTGGTAATTTGTGATCACTCTTCTCTTTTTCTCTCCTTGATCAGTCTTGTTATCAGTTTTGTATCAGTTTTATTAAAGAACCAACTTTTGGCATTATTGATTTTTCTCTTTTACACATTTGTGTTGCATTTTCATTGATATTTTCTCATAATTCACTATACCCTTCCTTCTATTCTTTAGATTTAAGTTGCTTTTTAGCTTCCTGAGATGAATACTTACTGATTTTTTTTTTTTAGTCTTTCTTTTCCCCTTTTTGTTTGTGAGGTTATAAATTTTTCACTAAGCACAGTGTCTTGGTCAAATACGGGCTGTTGGAACAAAAATACCACAAACTGGGTGGCCTATCAACAACACACATTTCTCACAGTTCTAGAGCCTGGGAAGTCCAAGATTATGGACCCGGCAGATTCAATGTCTGATGAGGACCTACTTCCTCATTGATGGTAGTCTTCTCACTGTAGTTGAAGTGCTAGAAGTGTAGTTTACATGCTGGAAGGGGTGAGCTAGCTCTCTGGGGTCTCTTACAAGGGCACTAATCTCATTCATGAAGGCTCCAATATTGTGACCTAATCACCAGCCAGAGGCCCTGCCTCCAAATACCATCACATCGGGCATTAGGTTTCAGCATATGAATTTTGAGGGATATAAACATTCAGTGCCTGTCACGTGGCTTTAACTATATCCCGCAAGCTGTGGTATGACATGTTTTCATTGCTTTGCTACCCTGTGCTTACCCTAGACTTGCTTTACACCCTTTTCTTTTTCTTCTCACAATATTCTCCATTCCTATCAAAGTCCTGATTCTTCTTTGGGCCAGCACAGTTGCTACTCTGATTTCTAGCACAGTGACCCACAAAATTTTTCCTTTCTTGTGGATTCATAGCACTAATGGGTCACTGTAGCCTAATACACTTATTACATAATAAAAAATACTCTGCATTTATGTGAGGGCAAGGACCCTGTGCTATGCCCCTTTGCACCCAGTTTGATTTGCTGCATATTTTGCAGATTAAAGCATCTACTGCCAATGCAGAACCCGACCAAACATTGGAGATCAGTGAGCAAGAAGCTGTGGGAGGAAAAGAGGAAAATATGAAAGCCATTTTGCAGGCATATCGTTTTACAGGTATAATTTATTTTCTGACCTGTTTCAGTCTGAGTCTCTTGTCTCTAGTGCATTGGTTTGCTAGATATATTATTAGTCCTGGACTTATTTCATGAGCATGGATTTTGCCTTCTTCAGCCTATACACACAAAGCTGGCATACTGTTTGTGGGCATCTTCACCTACAAAATCGGCCACTTTTTGCAGAAGATTGGTTGGTGGCCAGCTTATTCATTTTAGCTCTAGTGTGTGTTGGACCCTGTGGTAGAACTGCCTTTGCTGCTGGCTGGCTTGATATCACTGGTCAAGTTGTTTCAACCTAGTAAGTCTCTGTTTTCCTACTATAATGGGGATTTATCCTGCCCATTATCTATGGCATAAGAGGATTGTGGAAGGAACTGCACTATCATACATTATTTGACACTCAGAAAAAGGAGTAACATGAAAATTTCTAAATCTCTTCTTCCATAATTTGATATAAGGATGTTTTATCTTTTCCACCATCTTCCATGGTTTTAACAACTCAAATCTGAAGTGAGGCAGCGTCAGAATAAAGAGTCTATTATGTTCATTCAACAAACATTTGATTGTTCATTCAACAAACATATTGTGTGTATGAGGCAGTGCTGAAGTGATTGCACAGCCGAGAAAGAAACTACCTTTGCTGACATGTGTTGACAGGTATCAACTTGTTTGCTTCAGGACTCAGTGGGAAACGGACCAGCCGAGGGGTCTGTGTCTGCATCAGCACTGCTTTTGAGGGAAATTTGCTGGATTCCTATTTTGTCGACCTTGTCATACAGAAGCCACTTCGGATACATCACCATTCAGTTCCAGTCTTCATTCCCCTAGAGGAGATATCTGCAAAATACTTACAGACTAATATTCAGCACTTCCTGTTCTGTCTCTGCGAATACCTAAATGCTTACGCTGGGAGGAAGTACCAGGCAGATCAACTTCAGGTATCTGTCTGGGATCTTATATAGGATTTTATTAGCCCAGAATAGGCTCAAAAGGTGAAAAAAGGTGGGGGCAAGTTATTTTTTATATTTTACCTTATTTTTATTTTTTTATTTTAGAGAGAATGCTCAAGTAGAGGATTGGGCAGAGGGAGAGAGAGAAAGAATATCTTAAGCAAGCTCCACACTCAGCACAGAGCCCATGTCGGTCTCTATCCGATGACCCTGGGATCATGACCTACTGAGCCACCCAGGCACTCCTCTTTTGTATTTAAAATGCTTTATAATTCTGAGCCAGAAGTTTGACCATTGTCCTTCTGATGCGTGTTTCTTTTTTTAAAAAAAATTTTTTTTTCAACGTTTATTTATTTTTGGGACAGAGAGAGACAGAGCATGAACAGGGGAGGGGCAGAGAGAGAGGGAGACACAGAATCGGAAACAGGCTCCAGGCTCTGAGCCATCAGCCCAGAGCCCGACGCGGGGCTCGAACTCACGGACTGCGAGATCGTGACCTGGCTGAAGTCGGACGCTTAACCGACTGCGCCACCCAGGCGCCCCTTGATGCGTGTTTCTTATTTATATACAAGTTATTTTCCACCTTCTTCCCCTTTTGAAATTCTGGATGCTGTTGAAGCATGGATGCTGGTTAAGGGATTTTTCACTCCCGAATGGTAGTCGTCAAGCTTTTATACTTGACCCTTTCTTCCCTTCACAAAGTACAGTCATACCTCATTTTATTGTACCTCTCTTTATTGCACTGGGCAGATATTGTGTTTTTCTACAGATTGAAGGTTTGTGGCGACCTTCTGTTAAGCAAGCCTATTTGTGCCATTTCTCCAACAGCATTTGCTCATTTTGTGTCTCTGTGTCACATTTTGTTAATTCTCTCAATACTTCAAACTTCTTCATTATTTGTTATGGTGATCTGATCAGTGATTATGATTCACTAAATGTTCAGATGATGGTTAGCATTTTTTATTTTTTTTTATTTTTATTTATTTATTTATTTATTTTTTCAACGTTTATTTATTTTTGGGACAGAGAGAGACAGAGCATGAACGGGGGAGGGGCAGAGAGAGAGGGAGACACAGAATCGGAAACAGGCTCCAGGCTCTGAGCCATCAGCCCAGAGCCTGACGCGGGGCTCAAACTCCTGGACTGCAAGATCGTGACCTGGTTGAAGTCGGACGCTTAACCGACTGCGCCACCCAGGCGCCCCAACATTTTTTAGTAATAAAGTGTTTTTTAATTAAGATCTGCATATTGGCAGGGGGGTGCCTGGGTGGCTCAGCTGGTTAAGTGACCGACTCTTGATCTCAGCTCAGGTCATGATCTCACAGTGTGTGAGATCAAGGCCCATGTTGGGCTCTGTACTGATAGTGTGGAGCTTGCTTAGGATTCTCTCTGCCCCTCCCTCTCTCTCAATTTTTCTCTCAAAATAGATAAATTTAAAAAGATATGTACATTGGTTTTTTAGACATAATGCTATTGTGTACTTAATAGGCTACAGTATGGTATAAACATAACTGTCCTGGGAAACCAAACAATTCATTTGACTTGCTTCATTGCAGCAGTCTGGAACTGAACCCACAGTATCTCTGAGGAATGCCTATACAGTTTCTGTACTGTTAATTCAGCAGGGATTTATAGAGTACTTACTCTGTACCAAGTGTCTTGCTGAATCTTAGGTATAGTTGCAAAGCAGAGTAATACATAGAGGAATACTATCCATCTTTGCCTGAACTCTGGCCTACCTTCTTGGGGTTGCATTGGAGCTAGGGTTGGGTGAGGAAAAAAAGTGCTTTTAAGTAGACAGGAAATGAATACAGATAAGGAATATATGACTTTTAGAAGCTGTGTTCCACCCATGCATTTAGAATGACTCTGAAGCTCTTAGTTGTCAGTTAAACTTACACTGATAACGTGGACACAGACACAAAGCATCTTAGCCAACTGTATGAAGACCATGAAATTCTTGGCAGAAATTGTATCTCCCTTATGCCCCCAACCCCCAGCCATTTATTTAGTGTTTTCTGCAGGTCTTTCTAGGATGCCACTAAGTCTTCACATCTTTATCATTAGTCCTTTTTACAGGCTTTTCTCTTTTGTTTAGTTCTCTGAAATTTGATTAATGGGCCCTATATTTGTAGACATGTTTGTTTGAAGTGTCACAACCACTCACTGCCTTTGGAACTGTAGTCATCATACATTGTGTCTCTCTTCTGACCCCCACACCCCTTAGAGAGACTTTGCAGCCTTTCTGGCTGGGCCCTTGCAGAGAAACTCGCTGTGCAACTTGCTGTCGTTTACTTACAAAGTGGAGCCACAGGGTCGGTCGTTCCCATTTTGTGCTAGACTGCTGTATAAGGACCTCACGACGACCCTTCCAACTGACGTCACCATTACGTACCAAGGTGAGAGGAAGGATGCCTCAGTGAAGAGATTACAATGTGCTCAGCGTTACTCAGGTTGAATGAGACGGTAAAATAGGTAGATTACATCAGTTGGACCTTTGGAGACCCGTTCTTCTGTTAATCTACCAGAAATGTACTCAGTAAAATACAAAGAATATTTTTCTTTTTTTAAAATATATTTTTTAATGTGTATATTTGAGAGGCGCCTGGGTGGCGCAGTCGGTTAAGCGTCCGACTTCAGCCAGGTCACGATCTCGCGGTCCTTGAGTTCGAGCCCCGCGTCGGGCTCTGGGCTGATGGCTCAGAGCCTGGAGCCTGTTTCCGATTCTGTGTCTCGCTCTCTTTCTGCCCCTCCCCCGTTCATGCTCTGTCTCTCTCTGTCCCAAAAATGAAAATAAAAATTAAAAAAAAAGGTTTTAATGTGTATATTTGAGAGAGAGAGATATTGAGAGTGAGTGATCTGAAGCAGGCTCTGTGCTGACAGCAGAGAGCCTGATGGGGGGATTGAACTCAGGAACTGGAAGATCATGACCTGAGTGGAAGTCAGACGCTTAACCGACCGAGCCACCGAGGTGTCCCAAATGTTTTCCTTCTTTCTACCAGTTTTTCTCTCCTTTTTGCGGGTAGTAGACATAATTTACCCTTGTTCCCTCTCCTTTGTTCCATCCAGGTCTGCTAATGCTCCTCCAGTTTAAGATTTGTTTTCTTTGGAGACCCCTCCTGAAGAGAGACAGCTCATGAGGCTGTCAGAGGGTCACTTGGATGAAGAGAGCCAAAAGACTCATTTCACTAAGAAGCCAAGTAGACGAGTGTATATGTCGCTCTCTAGAGACCCTTCTCTGGATGGGAATTTTTTAGGGCTGGCTGAGAGAGCTTTATGATACAGTTTTATAGTTAAATATACCATCATAATGTGACATGGGCAATAATGAAAAATAGGAAAAAATATTTTTAGGAGGTGGAAAATTTGAAGCTGCCGCAGATTTTAGGCTTCCTTCTGGGCAGGGTCTGTTCGGGTCTCAAAACTTCATTGGTCCAATAAAGGGCAGCCTCTTTCCTCCAGACCAAAAGAAAAAAAAAGTTATGTGGGTCCAGAACACCAGTGATCCAGGTTCAGGTTCCCCCAGTTGCACTAAATGAGATTGATTTAATCTATTTTAGGGACGGACGCCTCATCCACTTCATGGGAAGAACAGCGAGCATCCCATGAAAATCTGTTTTTTACGAAGCCCCTGCATCAAGTGTTTACTTCGTTTGCAAGAAACGGAGAAAGGTTGGATATGAGCCTGGTCTCCTAGAATATTATTTTCACTGGGAACATGTCAAAAGTGAGTAAAGTAATACTGTGCACAGTCCCAGGTGTGGTCCTGGGAACTGAAAACTATTGAAAGATTCAGAGCCCTTGCCTAGGGACCATCCTTGTAATGAGAACATTCATCTCATCATGATGGTAAGGGGCAAGTTTGGACAATTGAGGTATTGATTTGATCATATATTTTAGCTGAAAATCAGAATGTGTGTGGGGCAGAAGGCATTTTGTGAAAGAGGGAGTATGTACCATTCAACTGAAGAGTAGCTTTTATGAAAGCTTTAATTCTGCCTCGTTTTCCTGAGTCTTTTGAAAATAAAGTTTTTACAACATTCTGGGTTCCTGAATGACAGTTAAGGAAAACGTATTTGATCCTTAAATGAAGCAGTGTATTCTAGGCCCGTTTCATAAAGAATATGGTGTGAGAACATACTGTGGATAATCAGGGCTCTCTCTATGTGGCAAATGCTTTGTTTTCTAAAACACGTCAGTTGAATGTGTTAGGTCAGCTATAAAAAAGCACGATCAGAAGTCTGCTCAAACTCAGCGGTTACAAAGGGAAGCGGACCTCCCTCATCTGTCTTCTGCAAGCTCTCCCATGCTGCACAGGCCTGATAGGAGTCCTGACCCCCCTTCCTGCCCCAGAGCTGCAGCCAGGTCTCCACCGTGGTCACTCTTTGGACCCGATGACCAGGAAGTAACCTATGTGTGTGGGAGCACAGGGGACTCGTAGAGCCAGCTCGGCCCACCATTAGAAGGAAGCAGCTTGAGAGTAAGAGAGAGGTCTTAGTTCAGGCTCTTGCCTTCTAGGCATGTGGTAAGGATGAGTGGTGTGAGTTAGCAAAGCACTTAGCGCTTTTCAGATGATTGGTATTAACAGTTTTCACAGTGATCACATCCAAGTTGAATAAAGCTTTTAATAAAACTGTCTTCTTTATCAATACCTGTAAATTCTCTTTTAAAGCAGTAGCAAAGGCGACTGTAGCAAGAGCTCAAGAGGCAAGGCAATATTGGAAAGTGTTTAACAGAAAGTTAAAAATATAAATGTAGAAGATCTGTTTATATATTTTTCTCTCAGAAATAAATTCCCTTTCCCTCCCTCCCACCAGGTAAAAGGAAATATTGCACTTTCTGCTCTCATGACTAAGGTGGCAGGGGTTCCAGAAGAACCTTTCAAGATTATCAGGAACATCAGCATGAGGGCCAGTTCACCTAGCCCGGACCATACGGAGACCAGCAGCTCTCCAGCCTGAAAGAGGCCTTCCACGTGTGCGCCAGGGAGAGCAGCTGGCCGCTCGGTTGTCGAGTCCCGCCAGGTCCTCGTCCGAAGCACAGCTCTCCCACCTGTGCTCCCAGCCCCGCAGCAAAGGCAGCTCTGTCCCACCTCGGATACGTTCCCGCTCACAGTGGCCGTGGCCTCTCTGGGGGAGGGAGGGCTGGTCAGACCCGGGCTCTGGAAGGATTGTTCCAGTACTATGCCTAAGACCCCTACTCTCTGAGGAAGCTACAGGCACGCTGAGGAATAGTATGGCCACCCTCAGAGCTCACGTATCCATGAACAAATGAAGGCTTGAGATTTTTAAACCTAAAGTCTATGTGAGTGTGCACTTCCAACAGTTTGGGCAGGTTGGGGCTTGGTCATTTGTCCTTTCCCAAGGCCTTTCTTTGATTCCAAAAAAACAGATTCTCCCCTCCCATTTGGACTGTTGTGGGGCTCGCGGCCATTCAGGAGTTGTCCACCACCTGGTGGGGCAGGGTGACCGAGGAGCCGTTAGGGAAGACAGCTGGCTTCTCCCGCCCCTTCAAGAAAAAGGTTAGCAGCTCCCCCTTCCCTTTCACAAAGATGGGCCCTCGCCTCACAAAGCGGAAGCCGTACTCCCGAAGGATGGCTTGTGTTTCTTCCACCACCTGTGGAGGGAGAACATAGCGTGAGCTCAGCTGCCCAGAGGGTGTCCACATGCGGCCCACAGGCCCCAATCAGCCTGCCTGGAGTGTTGCTCTCCAGAACTGTTGGGCTAAGCCCCTTATCTGCATGCCAACAGGCACAGAGTGGACAGTGGCAGGATGCGGGGTTGCCTAGGGCCTTTCCCTCTCCCAGTGACCGTGCTCCCTGTCCCCAGAATCACTCTGTTTTGTCTCTTCTCCCCACTCTGGCGCTTTCTTGCCATGGGGGTGGCTTCAGGGTATTGGCTGTTGGCACAAGATGTAGTTCATTCCAAGAGGCAGGACAGCCTTACCAGAAACTTAAATCTAAATTTTGGAAATGGGGTCGAAGTATTTCCTCCCTTCTCCTGAGGCATCCCTTTCCACCCTTGCCTTTAATCTTCCAAAAACACCAACTTGATAACCTGGGCCAACAGAAAGGAGGCAGTAGCATGTGGCAAAGCACCCCCTATTCTGACTTTGTGCCCGGTCCCTGGGTCTGAGCACATGCTCGGCTCTCGCTGGACATACCTGAATGTTACCCATGACCCCTGTGGACTCCATCCTGCTGGCTACGTTGACCGTATTGCCCCAGATGTCATAATGTGGTTTCCGGGCTCCAATGACCCCAGCCAGTACCCCTCCTTTGTTCATGCCTGGTGTAGAAGCATAAAATTAAGTACAGCCACATGTCACATTTTGTCATCATCCCATCTCAGAAGCCATCAACTCCTCCCCCAGAGAAGTTACCACCCGACCCCAACCACAGAGCTCCTAAATCTGTAACATTACTCCTGAAGCTTGTCTCTAAGCCACCAGAGGGCAGGCATGTCTCCTGTTTATCCTGTCCTTGGCAAATGTCAGCTGTCCCCAATATGCTAACTAATGTATGCAGTGTGGAAGTTGACAGTTGCAACACATCTGGTAAGTGTCTTGTGACCTCACCCAGGAGTGAGGACCCCACCCCCACCCCCAATAAGGGCAGCAGGTGACATTAACTCCTAACAGGCTGGACAGAGGCAGCAAAGGCCTGGGCAGGCACACAGGACTGCTTGGGGAAATATCCTGACTTCCCAGCTGGACTCCTAAGGCATGCTTTTCACGGTAACAGTACAGGACAGACAGCTAACCATCATTTTGTCAGATGTGTGGTCTGAACATCTGGAAGAGGTCCCTGGGGTCCCAAAGCTGTGACCATGTGGCCTTCCTCGACCTAAATGCCTCAGGGCTAAGTCCTCTTCCCTCCTGATGTGCTGAGTCCCTTGTGTCAGAGGAACACATCGAGGAGCAGACAAGCCTGAAGCCCTTACCTATGCGCAGCATGAAGTTGTTGAAGGACTGGTTGTTGATGTTGGTGAGTGTGTCCTTCATGGCCAGAGCGAAGTCAGCCAGGTCAGCCAGGTGCTGCCAGCGCTCCCGGTCAGACTTTTCCTCCTGCGCCAAGGAGAGGCCGTGAGGGCAGCAGGAGCCAGCGTGGGCACCTTCCTCCCCTTCACGGTATTATTGAGGTGAGTTCCTATAGCTACGTGTTAAAGGCCTTATTCTCCACTTCCTCCCACAGACAAGTCCATGACCTCTGCCTCTGTGTGTCATTGACGCTTCACCTGGGTCCCTTTGGATCCAGGGCAAAGCCCGGGTGGTGGTGGGGAAGACACGTCCTGTCAAGTCACTTCCTGTCTGCCATGTAGCAGATCAGTCCTGCCTCATCACCACCTTGCCCGAACCTGGTCTTATAATTTTGAGACAGCTGTCCTCACTTTGATTCCTGAGCTAGATTATAAGCACTGGAAGGTCATGAACCATCTTAGATGCATTTCTTTAGCCTCATCCATAGAATGGAGACGGTAGCAACACTTACATAGTATAGGACAGTTGTAAGACAAAACAGAATGATAACAGTGTAGGAAGAGCTCTTGGGACCAGGGCCCCCACAGCTCCTCTCCTCCCCTGGAACGAGCTAGCTAAATGGCTAGGTCCACAGGTCTGATTCAACAAGAGGACAGGCCGACGCCAGCCGGTGAGCTCTGAAGACCCCTCTTCTAATAAAACTGCTTCCAATCTGGATGTCGTCATTGTTACATAATTGTGTGGATGGTTTCTACTCCCTGGTTCTTTCCAAAGTATAGAACACGAAGGGAGCATGGCCACAGTTGAAGCAGCTTACACCCGGGCTAAGCTGTGCAGCAATGGAGGGGTTGTGTGTCCTATTTCTCTGCTCATTAAACTTTGCCAATAAACCTGATTTTAAATTTGCATTGCATGGTGCTGGCGGTGCGTGTGTCCCTTTGGCACAACCGGTACCCGGAAACGTCAGCTACCCTCGTAACTTCCCGTTTCACACGTGCTGGGTGCGGGCCGCTGCTTTCTTGCCTTGGAGGCAGAGCCCCATCTCCTCCAGCCACAGAGGTGGTTAGCTACCTTGCTGGAGTTGGCGAAGCCATTGGTGTTGACATCCGGGGTGACTCCTGAAGCTGCCATATAGGTGCTGCCGATGGTTTTGATCTTGGTGATGACCCGGAACTTAGGATTGTCCAGGAGCTGAGGCCAGTATTAAAGAAGAAATGTCAGTCAATGGGGATAAATGAGCCAACTAAGTGACAGGTGTGCCTGTTTACAACGACCCCACAAGACAGCCCAGAGATGGTTTCCTGAAGTCTGATCGAGTCTGCCACTTATCAGCCATGTGATCTCAGGCAAACTTCCCGATGAGCCTCAGTTTCTAGGACCTTAACGTGGGACAAAACTGCCAGTCCCCTAGGGTGATTGAGCATATATGTAAAAGCATTTTCCTTGGTGTATGAGTTACCTAATTTTACTGGATCTGGATTTGAGGGTGGGGAGAATCCGAGGGGCCTCAGGATCTTGTTTTAGCCAGTCGTACCATGAATTTGCAGGCGATTTTCCAGGCTCCTGCCTGCCCACTCAGACCCACCAGGCTGCAGGAGCTCCTGCGTTAATGGGGAGGGGCTCAGCCAGAAAAATGGAGCAGCTAGGGTAACGACAGCTTCTGACTTCTGCAGCCTGTCCTGGGATGTGATCCAGAATGAGCTGGCTTAGGGGCAGGACGGGGACTCACAGAATCAAAATCTGAGATGATCTCGTTGAGGAAGCGCAAACACTCGATGCCACCATTATTGATGCTCTCCTCTGTGTAGAAGTCGGCGAAGTTGGGCAGGGAGGCAAACATGACTCCGATCTCATCGTAAGACTGGCTGTACAGCTCCTAAAAAGAGGCAGGCCTGAGTGCTCAAGGAAATGCTGACGGAACGGTGTGCCACAGAAATGACGATCTCCCGTGATTGGTGTACTCAGCTTTTTGGATACCTCCCAGGTTATCCCAACTTTGAGCTGTAAGGAGGTAGACTGTCACGACTTCGAACAAGAGTTTTTCTGGTCTCTGGAACAGCCCTAGCTTTGAGCAAGTGGGTGGGATGGAATTGGGAAGTGAGACAGAAGAACCCTTCTACGTGAGGGGATGGCAGCTGGCAGGGGAGCTCTAGCCAAGGCCTCGGCGGAAACGGGGCCTTCCGGGGATGTGTGGCCCACAGGTTGGAGCGCTCTCTACCGAGCGCCTGTGAATTTCCCTCTTGCTTACGATGCAGCTGCAGCTTGGGCGCAGCCCTGCCTGGAACGGTGCCAGCTCCTGAGAAGACCTTGGGCCCAGAGGGGCTCCCTGGCAGAAAGCCAGACGACACACAGCCTTACGGCTGCGAGCTATCGCACGGGGCCACCCCTCACCTCATCTCTTTTCTTGGACCCCAGGAAATGGCGTGCCACGTGCTCAGGCAACATGTTGGTGACCAAGGCCTCATTCCAGCGCCGCATCTCGTAGACGCGTTCCTTCTGGTCATGGACCTCAATCTTCCACAAGAACAGTGTCCGTGCCAATTTTTCCACCTGTGGACAGGCACAGGCAAGGTGTGTGCTTCAGCTGACCATTTGACGGAAAGATGAAGCGGGAATTTGGATGCAGGGGTTCCACGTGGGAAAACCAGAAGGAAGGTGGCTAAATGACAAGAGAAAAGCCCCGGAGAGACCCACCTACTCACAAAGGCCACCCTGCAGCTGTAGTGAGGATTCCAGCCTCACTGTGGTTATGCAGAGCTCCCAGAGGCCTTCTGGAGATGCGGGGCCTTCTGGGACCTAATTCTAGCTACAGGTCCGTCTTGGCCTGGGGGACGTGGGCAGCAATGGAGATCTAGCCCAGCGGGGCGTCCCCATTTCCAGCAGGCTCCATTAGGCCAAGAAGTGCCTCGGGAAGGCTGTACTTTCCCTCGCCAGCCACCGGGGGGCACCTGGGCTAACATGGAGCTACTTCACTCTCTCCCTCTCTGCTTATTTTTTTTCCTTTTAACCAAACAAAACTTCATCAGCTTCTTTCCCTTTCTCTTCTGGCTCCATGCGTGTCAGTGACCCCTAGAACCAGGGTGAGTGAAAATCCAGGAGCCCTTAGCCTAAGAAACAGACTTTCTCCAAGCTCTTATGCCTCCACTGTATGCTTCCTTCAGCATGTTGGAGGAAGTCAGAGGAAAGAGGTAACGAACTGTTCTCCTTGTATTACAAGGGAGGAAACCAGAAAAAGGAGGGGGTGATGGTTTGGCCAGGGCCACATGCCAAGTTGGGTAAGGGAAACCAGCACTCCTGAGGAGCCGGGGTTCTTAGATCCT